GTCATCAGAATAATTGGTAGCAACACACTCTGCTAAGTCGTCTAAATTCCAATCTGGTGGTGAGGTGTATAGTAAGTGGCCGTTGTTCATGCTTTTAATTAAAAATTGAATATTTCACGCGCGTATTTCGAAATGATTCATGATTTTACTAATTTCTCCCCAGTTTTGATTGGCTAGGATTATTCGTACCAATTTACATGTCACCTTCTGTCTAAAATGTGACATCTCATTTAGTGTCGGGGTTAGGGTTAGTGAGCGGAATTATACCAAAATTTTGTTTGTTAGTGCGCAAAAGACGAATTTTTGAGATGTGACATTTCAAAAAAGAACGATTGTCATGTTACACCTGATCTTGCACTCTGATTGGCCAGAATCAAAATTGGGGGCGGATTTTTACATTTGGTGATGTATCCGTGTCGATCAAAATAAACAATTCTATTGGCTTCAGATCACGTGATGGACACGGCTCTAGACGACCCCGAATTTGGTAAAATCCCTGACTGCAGTACGAAATTATCTTTTCATCTTCGTGTACTGTAATAATTTTCATTATCAAGAAAATGCTTAAAGTACAACAATTTTATTATTTTCAAAATTTAAGACTAAATTGTTTCAAGAAAGAAATTATTTTATATACGATATATTGTTTTTATTAAATACAATGAAATAAACAAAAATCCTAACATTTATTCTTTTGAAGGCTAAAATAACCTTGCTGTAAAATTTCTTTTGCAAGTTCTCTAATTAATACAGCAGGATCTTCAGTACTCAATTTAAAAATAATTTCAAATAATCCATAACGTTTAATAACATCTTCACGTTGTGGATGTACATCACAAATAGATTTTAAAATACGTAATAAATTTAACCTTACAACAGGTTTAGGATGTCCAAATCGATGTAATAAACGATCAAAAAATGTTGGTTGTGCTAAAACACAAGTTACAGGAGCAGATAATTGTGTTATTATATGTAATGGTTCAAGAATATTTTCAAAAGAATTTGCTTTGGCGACAACAAATGCTTCTAGAATTAATTCAATATTTTTTTGTTGTAAAAGAATTGGTTCTACATTAGAAGTTTCTTCTTGGAACCATGCAAGAATAGCTTCAAAAGCACTAACTTGCCAAGACTTATCAACCAATAGATTAAGATAAAGTTGTAAAACGTTATTTTGCCATAATAGATCACGACAAGTTTGTCCCGTATGTGCCATTTCACAAAGAATTGGAATAGCAAAATGTCTAAGTGGTGTATTATTTGATGCAAAATACACCAAATGAGGAATAAGTCCAGCTCTTGCAGCTTCTTCTTGCCTTGATTTATTAATTCGACAAAGGTTGAACATTGCGTTAAGTACTTGATTAGAAATTTCAGTGACATATAATGGAACTTGTTTATCCAATAATGCTGTAAGAATTTGAATTGCCTTTGCTTTTTGTAAAGCATCCAATGTATTTGAATGCATAGAAATGTTCTTGATACATTTGAGAACGGCTACAATTAAATGTGACGGTAATTTGTACAAGTTTTCAAAAATCCGTGTAACAACCCGTGTACGTGTAGCCATAAATTCTTTTACATAAACATCTCCTCGAGAAAACATTAAAAAGATATTAACAATTCTATCCACAAATATGCAGGCTGAAGGATCATCATCCATTATAACATTATGTAAGGTAATGGCTAATGGATCTAATACCCCAATTTTTGCGAGTAAACGACAAAAATCGTTTTTAGGAGTCGAACTTTGAAGTTCAAAAACACTATAAATTCCATTAATCGCAATCCAAATCAGTTCTTTATGTTTAGAATACTCTTCCTGTAAAAAGTCAACTAAAATCTTTAACCCTTGACAAGATATAAACATTTGTAGGATAATTGGAGATGTATGACAAATCTGCCTTATAAATATTGCAGCTTCAACTCTAATTTTATATAAATATCTTTTTGAAGTAAAACTCATGATTATTGGAATACCTCCTACAAGACAAAAGTTTTCTTGAACATCAATGTTATCTGCAATTATTATGTTGACTATTTTTAGTAATTTTGAAAGCAAGTCAGTGTTAACACATATTTCCAAAATTTCCGTGATAGGAATGACACCATGAAAGATTATAAAATGATTCTTAAGTTCTTGATGTTCAGTTAAGAGATCGATTATTTGAACGCAAGAACTTAACAACTTATCTTCATTTTCGGTTGGTTGTAAAAAATTTATGAGTTCAGCTAATCTTGAACAAGCATTTGCATATTTATCTCGAGCAATATGTGCATCCAAGTCCATTTCATCAAATTTTTCCTCCAATTCAGCGAATGGATCATCTTCATCACTACTATCATCACCTCTCCAACTGTCATGTGCATTTAATTTTAACGTATGATTTATACAATCTTCATCATCATCAGAATCTCGAAAAGCTTGATTGTAATCTTGTTCATCTTCAAATTCTTGATATTGATGGAGTTCATTTAATTCCATAAATTCATATTGTACGGGAGTTGATACTCGAGACGAACTAATTATAGCCTTATTTGATATTTGATAACCAGGTATATCAAAATATCTTGAAGATGGAGAAGATGGAGCAGACATTGTTGATTTTTGAGCAGGTAATGAAGAAAGATGTTTATTTGAACTCTTTTTTACTCCATTAATTGAGACAGGTACTTCATTAGTGGTATGTGAACGAGTATGTCTAGTACGTAGTTTAGATTCATCAGTATCATTAGATATTGTAGTTGATGATTCCAAAGTAGAATTATTTAAAGATTTTTTGGGTAAATGAATTACAGTGTCCTGAACATTTTCCCAACCATTAGATTTAATAGATTTATCAACGAATCCATTAGTTTCAGTATTTGATATATTATCTTTTATTGTGATTTGATTTCCTTGATCTTTTGAAACCGAATGATTTTTATTTTTTTTAAGACCATTACTAAATTGAGCCGGTCGAACAGTTTGAGAATTATCATCTTCGTAAAATTCATAATTTGATTGTTTAGGTTGAATATCAGCGTTAAAAGATTTAGTATTTGTAAATTGAGAAAAAGATATAGAATCTACAAAATCATTATCCCAATTATTTCCTTCAACTTCAGCCTGTTCAAGAAATACAGATAAACGACGATTTTGTTGATTCAAAGAATTACCCAGAGAAGATAAGTTTTCCCAAGTATTAGTAGGAGGAGTAAAATCAGGAATTTTTGGGGAAGAAGCTGAACAATAAAGAGGAGATATTGATTTTGAAGGCATAGTAGCAGAAGATTTTATAGAACCACTTCTTCGTCTTTTATGATTTTCAAATTTAGCATCCTTTAGAGCTTCATTCCATTCTTTCACAGATCTTATAGCATCTTCAAATTCAGTAGTTATATTTGGTTTACGAACATTAGCAATCCAAGGATGTTTAAGTAATTTTCTTGCAGATACACGAAGGTTACTATCTTTTTGAAAACATTGCATAAGAAAATCTTTAACAGCAGGAGAAGCACTTTCAGGTAAAGGAGGATGATCATCTTCAACAATTCGAAAAAGAGCAGGCATTGGATCTAAATTATGATAAGGAGGTTTTCCTTCTAAAAGTTCAATAACAACACAACCAACACTCCAAATATCAGAAGAAGTAGTAGCGCCAGATAATTCAATTATTTCAGGAGCCATCCAATAAGGAGAACCAACCACGGATAAATCACCAAGATTAGCAGTTTTTGTAGCAACACCAAAATCAGCCAATTTAACTAAACCTTCTTTTGTGGTTAATATATTTGCACCCTTTATATCACGATGAATTACACCTTGATCATGAAGATATAATAAACCTTCCAAAACTTGACTAATATATAGAGCAACAAGGTTTTCAGGAAACTTTCCAAATTTTTTACAAACATTAAGCAAAGATCCATTTTCACAAAATCTGAAAAAATAAATGAATGAATAAATAAATCAATTACCGAATGGTAAAATTTAATATAAAGTAAGTCACGAATTTTTTTTTTTTTTTTTACATACTCTAATATTATATTTAAATAGTCGTCTGCCTTGACATATCCTTTATATTTTACAATGTTGGGGTGCTATCAATTCAATATCTTGTAAATATATGATTGTAAATATACGATTTGATTAATGAATAACAATGTTAGTTACGTACATTTAAATTTTTTAATAATTCAATTTCACCCTATAATATAAAAAGGTGTGAGATCATTGGAATACAATTTTGAAAAATATAATAGGACTGAGAGAAACCCGCGTTGTAATTTAGTAAAATTCGCTACGTAGATCACGTTAGGGTGAAATCCGCGTTTTTTATTATGCAAAAGCGAATTTCACCCTCATGTGTGATCTACGTAGCGGATTTTACTAATTCACAGCGCGGGTTTCACCCTGTCGTAATATAATCATAAGTACGTAATCTGAAAGTTTACCATTATAAAAGTTAGCTCCGATTTTTGTAGATCGTTGATCTTCACCTGTTTAATTGCTACCGCTTCACCAGTTACCATATTCAAAGCTTTGTAGACAGAACCGAAAGAACCTTTTCCAAGGCATTCTTTACTTAATTGCTATCATTTATGATTATTATTATTTTTTTAAAAAAATAGTATTTAATCGTTAATAATTAGATCAATCCAATCTTTTAAAAATGAATTAATTGTTAAGTAGATTTGAAATACTTGCATAATTATTAATCGTTCCCATCTTTCTAGTGTAAATTAACTCACTGACTTTTTCAAAGTAAGATGAGAATTTCGTATCAAAAAAAAAACAAAAGAAAATAAAAAAAAGGTTTTTTTTTTTTTTTAAATTAATAATAGGAAATTATTGATCATAAGTTAAAAAGAAATGTTAAAAAAAATTGAGACGTATAAGAAGAAATTATGAACTATAAAAGTGGCACGAAGGAAAAGGCGCAGTATACAAAGATAGGTAAGATATCGATAAATGGAGGTAAGTACGTAGGAATTATTATTAAGGCCGATAAAAAATAGTTCGAATTTAAGAAACACAAAAAAAAAAAAAAAAAAAACGGTTAGTTCATTTGGTTTACGAAGTACAAACCTCGAAATAAGATTATAAAAAAAAAAAAAAGGTTCAAAAAAAAAATTTTTATTTTTCTTGGTTAAAATTATCCGAATTCTAAGTGGTATAATCAATAATTTTATTTTGAAAGATCATTTTAATAAAGTTATGAGGGGTAAGGGGAAGATTACCAAACATTAAACGAATCTGGAATCGAGAAATCAACTTAGCTTTTTTTGCGGCACATTTAAATACTATATAAATCAGGCAAGTTGATCGAAAATAGGGGGTAGGAACTAAAAAAAATAAAGGGTTACATATATTAATTTGTACAGTATTAAATTTATTAAATTTATTTCGTGAGAAATATTCACATGATCAATATAATAATGCTATTTCTATTGTTCTAGACGTTAAATTCATCAATAATATTTAATAACCGAAATAGCTACGTATAATATAATTGAAGTGGATTTGATAATTTTAAGTGTTGTTTATACAACATAACATCATAGGTAAGAACGTTTGTTGTCTAATTTTGATACAGAAAAGTTATTTTAATATATAGTCTGCAATGCATTTATTTAGCATTAGTATTATTCCTGAAAAATTCAGGGTCATAAAGTACGAATGATACATGCGTATGAGTCAATCCAATTCCTAAAATTCTCTTTTTATATTTCAAAATTTAGAAACTCGTAAGACGATATTCAAATATAGTTTGAATGTTCATAATGAATATTCATTTATTTATTTATGGGAAATTCTATTTTCACCTGGGATAAAGTCATTCGATAAATTATAATGTCATTTTAGTAACTAATAGTATTTCGAGTGACTTTAACCCGGGTGAAAATAGAATTCTCCTTTATTTATAGCTAAAATCTTCAAAATTCTAGGATATACAGTCATAAGTTATAACACCCCTTTTTTCTCTACTTTTTTTTGGAGATATAACTAAGGTAGGATATAACTATTACATAAAACATATCGATATAAAAAAAAAAGGACATTTATTCTGTTCAAATATGGGGATATTACTAATATGAGAATATAACTCAAGGTACGTACGTACGTACGTGCGTACGACTGTATATCAGATATTTATAAAACTTATGAACTTATTTTTAGCTGCGGACTCGAAACTAAATTAGAAAATAGCAAATTAAATGCTAACCAAATATCGGGTATTATATATATATTTTTTTTGTATATATATATATATATATATATATGCGCCATACGTACGTACTCAACAAACATATCAAATATCTAGCAATTCGAATCCTATGATAAGTTCACCCACAATGAAACATAGCCATAATGCTGTCTGTACTCGTATGTAAGTAACCTCTACTTATGTCACCGTTACCAAAATAATGTTATAACTTAAATATCGATGAAATTTTCATTCTATAGCAATTTTGACTAAGGTTTTAGTTTAATTACATTTGTTTCACAGATTATAATAATACATCTTTGTTGACTCAACGGCGTGCTAATCAGCTGAAAGAAACATGTCATATCAGATGTTTTTAAACAATGTACGTACGCACGTACGTACGTACGTAGGTACGTAGGTATATTTATTTGCTTGCTGCATCATGATGAAAGAAAGAGGATTCACATGTGCAAATTCAGTTCTTTCAATTAAGTTTACATGAATTTATTGCATTCTAATTAGTGTAACTGACAGCATCTTCGTAAGCAAAGTATCTTTTAGGTCTGTTACATTAACCATGCACAGCTTGTCCCAGGACATAATTTAAACTCTTGTGCAAATGTATTACCGTAAAAGTCGGACACGAGCACCCTCTACCATTTTTAAGAGCCAGTCGGTGATTTATACCCAGGCACATAAGCATTGTACATGCTATATGTATCATTCCAGGTACGTACGTACGTACGTACGTAGATACTGTATAGTAAAACATATCATCTTAATACGTACCCCCATACTAAATTGAGTAATGAAAATACCCGGGGTACTCGTGTCTGACTTTTACGGTAGTCTCGGAAAAAATCTGTATATGTTTACTTAGAAGATCCATAAATAATACAGATTTATTACATATTATACAGCGTTAATGTTGTGCTAATTTCTTCATTAATTTAAAATTGATCGTATGTTTGCTCTAACGCTAAACAAATATACATTTAGTGTAGTAAAGATATACGTTTAAAGATTTACGTACGTACGTACGTAGTGTCACTGATCGCTTGATCGCTATAACACTAAATACGTACTTTACGTATGTACGTATCTAAATATGAAATTGTTCTTATAAATTAGTCTTTGGTTTGTTGTTTTTTGTGCGTACATTAATGGTAACAATAATGGTACCAATAATGGTACCAATAATGGTACCAATAATGGTACCAAATATCCGCTATAGCATTATACATGTATAGTATAATATCTAATTTTTAAAATATTCTAGAAAATTACTCCGTTATAGTAATAAATTCGCTTTAATGGATTCATTATAAAGAGGGTAGAGTTTAATATTCAAAAATCAAAAAAAAATAACATAAATCAAACAAAAAAAACTATTAAAGCTTAACAACACCAATATTTATACGTATATACTTATAATGTTAGCAGCCCAATTTTTTAATAATTTAAAAAATACAACCATATAAAATTAGAAAACACAACTCTCGTTATATTAAGGTAATTGGGCTTAAAAAAATCCTCATTATAGCTTACATCAAGAGAATATTATATGTACTTCATTATTTCGAGAGTTCTCTATAACAAGAGTGAGTTGTAATAAAAAATAAAATAAAAATAAAATAAGTTTCAAAAAAATAAATTTTTAAAAATTTTAGTTTATATACACTATAGCATACATATATAGATAGATCTTAATTGGGTTTGTAAAATAATTAAACCAATTTTTGTAAATAAAAATTAATTCTATGTCTGCACATAGTAATTCTCTTAATAAGTTTATATTTTTAGTTCTAATAACTTGTTATAAATACCGTATAATATATTACTATTTTTAATTAACTAATCAGTATATAATTTTTTTTTTTTAAAAAACAAACTTTTAATTTACAATTAAAAGATGCTTACTGCAAAATCGCATCTTTGCATCCCGTTAGATTTAATTGCAACCTCCGCAAACATTCTTTTTGTTACAAAAAAAAAATGCAAGACTTCAAAGTCACAAGGTCAAAAGTCTACTGTTATTATTATTAATAAAATGAAGAGCAAGTACATAAATGTATACTGTGTTATAAAAAATATAGTAAATTAAGTTATTATAATACGTATGACGTATATATTAAATGTTACAACATTACGACATTTATTACGGTTTTACTAAATGGTGTTCAACACCACAGTTGCTATATCTCAAAAACGTACTAGCTAACACACGTCAGGATTACTAAGCAAAAATGTTCAGAATCTTCAAAAAGCTCACCCTAACCAAAATTAAGGCCTATATTTTTACTATAGTTCAGGTCCCTAACCCAAATTTTACTAGCAAAACTATTAAATAAATATATGTGGTGTTGAATACTACTGATATGATTTAGTAAAACTGTTGTTCATTATTGTTTATAAACCTGTTTTTTTTAATCTAGCAAAAATTCTTGAAAATTTTTTAATAAAAAACCATTTTCTTACGTATATTAAAAATTAATGTCACGCTTTTTACGTATATTAGAAGTTAAACCCGCTTTTCTTACGTATATTAAAAGTTAAAACCACCTTTCTTATGTATATTAAAAGTTAAAACCACCTTTAAAGCTATTTATAATAATTTCTAGAGTTCCTAATATTAGAATTTATTTGATGAAATGAAACTAATCTTAATTCTGTCTAACAACAATAATAAGGATCGAAAACATTTAACCACTTGCCAAT